ATATCTCTAATAAAATGGAACTTTGAGGAACTTAAAGCCTTGGAACCTTCTTTCGTTGCGAGTGTTATTTGGAACCCTGACATCCAGCTTCTCCAATGGGTGTTTTTATGCCAGAAATTGGCAAAAAGGATTGCAAATCACAATCATATGACCATAGAGTGCTGCACCCAGTAGCTGGATAAGATGTGCCCAAATTGTGATCATGTGACTGTGGGAGGTGCAACCAACATACGTGTGAATATAGATCATAAGTCACTTTTTTTGTGGCCATCATAATTACATAGTTGTTAAATGAACAGTTGTAAGTTGAGGACTAGTTGTACATCTGTCTCCAGACATGCATCATGCCCACAAATTTTAAACATTGCAGTATTTAGCAATCAACAAAGTTCTATCTGAACCATTACCTGACAGGATTGTTATTGAGTGACACACGTAGAGACTCCAAACATCCAAGGAGCTGTGCATCTTTAAGACCAGATTTTAGTTCCTGAATGTACATAATAGGAGACTTCGAGCTCTCCTTTTGACTCATGCCCTACAAATGAAAAAATAATGATAAATGTAAGTCCATTCTTTCTAAATTAAATATGTCTCAACAACATAGAATAAAACTCTTTAATTGATACAACAAAGTTTTCAGTTTCTAAAAATGGTTCAATTGGATATTGTTGAGCTATATCCAATTACATTCCAGAATTATATTCCTTTTCTATTTGCTTTAATTTAGGGCTACTTATTATTCAGTATTTGAATACTGACTTTCTACTATTTTCTCCATCCTAATAAAAAGTTTTATTATTATCCACTATACTTCATTTCAAATATATATTAGAATATAGCTGGTAATACATTGCATGTTTACCTTATAATTACAATTCACAATAGAAATTTTTACTCAGGTTTTCTTGTAAAAATATAAGTCTGGGGTTGATTTCAGGAATGTGGAATCAGTTATTACTCTTTAGTATGTACATTTCTTGTTCAGCATGTACTCAAGAAGACAAAAACAAGTGAGACTTGTTAAGTTAGACTAAAACAAAAAATGGAATAAAAACTTACTAAAATTGAGTTTAATAATAAAATATTAAAATCAATTAACAATTAAAAGCTTGGCAAAAAATATGGGATTTACAAATGTTCTAAATAGGATAGCAGGGTCCAAATATTTATCTTAACAGGAAAGGGTGTTACTTAGGTAGTCAGCATCAAGACTACGCTCTCAAATTATGTTCAGTGAACAGTCAGCAACCAATTTTTCAATAGAGGTACTGCATAGTTCCTGCACGGTGTACTTCTTAGCAGCCTATACTACCTAGCCTATACATCATCTGAAATTTCCAGAAATTTACAAGGGTTCTCACATAAAGTATACCACATTAATCAAGAACAGACAACTATTACCAAAAGCAGCCAGCCAGTTCAAGAAAAACTGTAGCTATCACATGAATTATTATTCTGCAGAAGCACCATTTGAGCCATCAACAACTTGCAATTCTATGACTGTTGAGAATTAAATTCCGAAGGGTTTGCCCTTTGGGACATCCTCCTCCCAGAGATTATAACATAGAACAGATTTGGAATGGATCTTGGAAGTCTTCTAGCCCAACCCCCTGGCTAAGGCAGTATTTATTCCATTCCGGACAAATGGCTGTCCAATGTCTTCTTGAAAACCTCCAATGATGGAACACCTAAAACTTCCAAAGGTAAGCAGTTCCACTGATTAATTGTTCTCACTGTCAGGAAACTTCTCCTTAGTTTTAATTTGGATCTCTCTTTAATGCTCTTCCACTTTTACTTCTTGTCCTGCTCACAGGTTCTTTGGGGAATAGGTGAAAAACCCCTCTTCTCTTTAACAGGTCCTAATCCCGCTAGTCCTTCTCTTCGTTAAACTAGACATACCTAGTTCCCACAATTATTCATCATATGGTTTAGCCTCCAGACTTACATAGGTAGCCCTTGAGTTACAAATGTAATGGAGCCTACCCATTCCATTCGTAATACAAGGATTCGTGGGAGTGAATCTCATACCTTGAATGTGATCACTCTCTCTTTTCACCCACACATCCGCTAATCAAATGCAAGCCCTGTTAGTGCACATGAGGTATCTTGGGGTGGGGAAGGGCATGGGGGGCGGGGTTTAGTGATGGAACCCAAGGCTTCCCCCAACCCATTGAAATACCTCATGCTCCCCACAATTGTTTCTCCTCCCATCCCGAACCTGCCATGCCAGGTCACTTACCTTGTGAAGATCTATCTCCACACCAGTGTCTCTGTTTTTTTGCCTGCTCCTGGCCAGCAGCAAGAGCAGAGGGAAAGGATTCTCTGATCACTGAGCCTGCATGCCACTTCTGGAGCTGCGGACAGTCTCAGTGATTTTCCTCCAAAGGCTTCCAAGCTCCATGTGGAAAACAAAGTGAGGCAGCAAACTTGCATTG